CTGGACTTCTCCCCCACAGCCCGATGTCCTCCACGCTGCACGGGAAGCCCGCGGCGATCTTGATGCCGTGCTTCCTCGTGAGCTGGGAGAACGTGTCTCCATTTACCGTCTAGAGACGCCGACCGGCGAGACACCGGCAGGAGAAAAGAAACCCAAAGAAAAAAAAAACCACGACTAAAGTGAAAAACAACCACTAAACCACATTAAATTAATATATATAACTAAGGGAAAAAAAGAACAACGAGAGAAAAACCGCTCACTCAGGACACTCACACACACTCACTCCCAGCATGCACCGAGAGAGAGAGAGAGCGAGAGAGAGAGAGAGAGCGAGAGAGAGAGCGAGAGAGAGAGAGAGAGAGAGAGAGAGAGAGAGAGAGAGAGAGAGAGAGAGAGAGAGAGAGAGAGAGAGAGAGAGAGAGAGAGAGATATACAGCAGGTCCGCAGCGCCTCCAGGATCAGTCCCTCTGTCGTTGGTGATCTGATCTGTCTGCTGATATGAGCTCCGTGTGTGGAAGTTACTACGGTGAGGACGGCGTGTTCGTGGCGGGCTTCACGTGTCCCAAAGCGGACAGTGACGCTGCGGCACTTTTCTGCTGCGGGTTCAACAACTTGAAGTATTGTTGTGATGATCCCAACGGCTTCTTCCCAAACAAGTATGTATACGTGTTGTGGTTAGAATGTGTGAACTTCTCATATGCTCTCCAGATGTGTATGATGTGAACAGGCATTCAGACCCAAATAGTTTGTTATATCCTCTAAAAATGTGAGTTTTTTTGTTTGAAACATAAGGATGATGCTGCCTCTCATTAATTAAATGACTGGTTCAGGGATACATTGATCCAACATCTTCTCTGTAATCCACTGAACTGTGAGACGTTTTTAAATGGACAATATTTTCTTGTCAGTCTCCTGAAAAATGTTATTAGTGAGGTGTGAAGACATAATCTATGGCAAACCCACTCATCGTGGGCGAGGTCATTACCCAGCTCCATATTGTTATTTGTCATTATGTGTAAGTAGGGAAAACTTTGGTGCTTTTAATGAGTTTCTCTTTCAAAGCACATAGTTGCTCCATGCGCTCACAAGCATTATGTGATAATGTTAAATGTACCAAAGCTGAGCAGGATTCTAGAACGTGCGACATTTTACAAACGGCGCCCCATAGACAGTCTGGTGAGGTATATTGTGGTATATTAGTGTAACGCTGCTTATGCTTCAACTCTGTCAGAAAACAGTACAAAAATATGTGTGTGTGTGTGTGTGCTGTCAGCTTTATTATGTAAATTACTCTTATTATGCATAACATTGATTTATCTCATTTACTAAATTTGCAGCATAATGCCAAGAAAATAGAGACTCCAAAAGCAGAAGGACAGGAAAAATATCCTACTGTGTTTTTATTTATTTATTCATTCATTAGTATGAATCATTTTGGCGATGGGTGCATTTGTTTTGGTTTGACCACCTGCCCCCACAATGTCTGCAAGTGCCTGATAGCAAACATTGCTGACATCTAGTTTGTGACACGGATGAAACATGTATGTCTGCAGTCCTCAAATCAATAACAAGCTCTTTAAATAGAATTACTGTGATAATGTCTGTGTTGTAGTTTGGGGAGGATCGTATAATTGGCTGGTTCATAAAAGTTGTAGCCACAAGAAATATGAAAGAAATGGGTATTGTGCTGGGAACAAAAGACTAATAATAATGCAAGGTAAGGGAACAGTACTAATAATATACCGATATTCAAACACACAGGGAGTAAAACACATCTGTGACTTTCGTTTTTTGTGCCGTTATAATGTTTAAGTACTTGAATTCATTTGTTCAAACCAAATTACAGGGACCCCTGTCATGATTTAGTGGATGTCTGTGAGAATGGTGAATGATGACATGTGGTGTTCATGCGTCTTCTGTGATTAGAAGAATAGAAAAGTGCTATAAAAGACAATTTCACCCCGACTCTTCTTGTTGTTTCAGTATATTTTGTGTCACCAGAGCAGTTGCAGATTAGCGGGGATCATGCAAAAGGAAAGCATGTGCAGAATTTAATATGAAAGAATTACATAAAATGTTGCAGAGTAATCTACTCTGGGAATGTATTTAGAACGAATGTACCTTACGCTTGTATCCCAACACATCTGTAACAGTAATAAATAAATATATTCACTTATTTATTTTACGCCCATACAAAGGTGGGTTGATGAGCAGATCTTGCTGCTCAAAAACATTCAATTATTTCACTACAAACATACTTTTATATTTAGATTTCCTTTTCTTTAATTTCTATTTTTATACCACTAGTGACAGGTATCATACAGAACATAACAAAAACGTAATTAATTTGATTGGCTGTCTAATGTTAAGTTTGAAATTGACATGGTTTCATGTCTAAAAGCCGCTGGAACAAAACAGTGCATCAGAGGAGCTTTTCCAAAGAAAAACAAGGGTTTTATGGGCCGTACTGAATATTTGTGAACCTTTAATATATTTTCAGTTTGTTCGGACCTCAGTACAATTCTCGCAAATCCAACATCTCAGTAATACCCAGAGAGATCTTTTTTTGAAATTTGTTGAAAAAGTCTGCTTGGACTCAAAGATGAACTGATTAGAATTTGGAGGTCAAAGTTCATTGTGACCACACCTGAAAACTAAATATGGTAATCCAGATCAGAATCACAAAAAGAGTGATGGCATTTTGGACAGACATGATGGTGAACAGCAACATAACTGGCTGAGGCATACAACTGCAAAGTATCAAAAGCCCTTATGGACTAAAATACACGTTGACAACGTGGGTGTGAAAACACATCTAATCAATATCTGTTCAATCCACACAGCTGGAACCATTCATACATGAACTGTATCATATTTCCCTTCTGTTGTGCAACATGCTGAGAGGCAGGAATCTGTAATAATCCGTCTCTCTTTTCCTCTGTTTCACAGTTTTGGGGCTATTGCTCTCTCCATAGCAGTCATGCTTGCTTTTGCCCTCCTCTTCTCTCTGTGTATCCTCTGCTATTTCATCATCACCACTGAACCCATAGATTTGGACAATGGGCTGGAGCTCCAAGCAACAGGTAACAACTGCGTCTCCGTATCGACGCAGCTGGAAATTTGCTGCGGAGCCACAGGAGACGTGTTGCTAGTATGATTTGATGGCCCGTAACAAGAGTGTAATCTGTGAGGTTGTTTCAAAGACTGGTTTAACTGCTGGAAATTACACAATCACATTTAAAAGCGCAACACACCCTCACATGTATTTGTTTCTCCTCAGAAGTGGAGACACTGTCCAGCTTCACTCAAATCTCTCACGCTCATGTACCAGCTGTTGAGGCTGGAGAACCTCATCAGTACAAGATGTATGATGACTGATGGAAATTATTCCTTGAGTTGTCAAAGTAAAACAATATCTTTACATTACTTGTGATACTGTCTGTGTTGTGTCGATTGGGAAGGGTTGAATACTTTTGTCTGGTTTATAAACGTTATAGCCACAAGAAATAAGAATCAAATATAATGGGCGTTGCGCTAGAAAAAAAACTAATAATAACCAAAGATAAGGGAACACCACCATTAATATACAGAGTTAGTTATTAAAACACACAGGGAAGGAACACAGGCGTTAATAAGCATTTGCGGCAACATAAGAAAATTTCAGTCTGACACTTCTTGTTGTTTCAGTAGATTTTGTGTCACCAGAGCAGTTGCAGATTATAGTGGAGATCATGCTCATATTTATTTATCGCCCATACAAAGGTAGGTTGTTGAGACCCTCAACTTGGGAAAACTTGTCTTCAAGCATCCAAAGTCAATGTCAGGAGGAGCTGCATGTTTTGCTCATGTGTTTTCTGGCGGATTACAGACATGCGTTGCCTACGACACGGACCTCTAACCAATCCATACTGTGGCCGAGTTTATTAACTCCCAACCAGGTGTTAGAAAATTGAGTGTTGGCACCTAATTAGTTTTTTCTGCCATATTTCAGATGTTGGTTGGTTTGACCATTTAACATTAACACAGCGAATGTAAAACGGATCCTGAGATAATACTAACAGGTGCATTAGTGGTGAGCTGCATCTCGGACAGCCTAAAGATGTCTAAAGATGTCATCCTTCATCACAGCCGGTCTGTGTGGTCCAAAACTGATTCTTTTGTCTTCTAGGCTCTACATTGAGTCCACAAAGACCAGGACCAAGCCCTTTGAGTGCGCCCGCTGGTCCACAAGGCTTGAAGAAACCCTTCCTGAGGGGCAAAGTGGATTGTGACAACCAGCCCCAGGACCCTGAGCGCCTCCTCCAACCCTGTTTCGTGGCCACTGAGACATCTATCAATGTCGAGGGTCCTGCTTAGACTGGCAGACTATTTTACTTTTGGCTTGTGTAGTTGCTCAAAGGAAGCTAAATGGCGGCTCCTCTGAAACGTCTTGTGTGGCTTTCCGTATGTGACATGAAATCCATGTTATATTTAGTCCTCCTCTTTCACACATTCACACACAATATAATTAATACGCAACTCAAACACTGCATCGAACATGGCCACCGTGAACAAGCCCCTGTAAGGTTAGGAATGTAGAGAGTTACCTGTTGCATGGCAACCAGTGGCATCACGCGAATGTGACAGGAATTATATATATGTTATCGAGACCTATCGGCAGTGTTTCACACTGGATACCTTCCTTCTTTAAGTATTTTATGACAACAGTCACTTGTGAACGGACAGAGAGACACGAAGTCCCCTGAACCTGCCCCCTAGTGCGGGGAGCGCTGTGACCTTTGACCCATGCACAGTGTCCTCTCCTGGAACTGGTCCAGAAGAGGACATCACCCAAACATCTCTTTACTAGGTAGAGTAAAGAGCGACCATCTTATTCCTCCCGGCCTGGTCCGGGCCCCCGTTTCTCAGCTCAAAGCTCTTCAGAGGAGGCAGTTGACAGCTCCATGGAGTCTCTCATTCGCACCAGCAGCCTGAAACTCTCCCTGCTAGTGCCTTCTTTCAGGGGCGCTGCCGCTACATGGTGGAGAGACACCGGGCCTCTGTCGCGTCTCACATGGGTTGGTCTAACCCTTGAGGCTATCCGATGTGCGTCCCTCATAGTTTACCCCGGGGAGACCATTAGGCCAGATGCCAGATTTCCTCGACTCCAGTGTCGGGTCACAAATGATGCTCTCCAGGCCTTATGACACAGCAGCGGGATTGGGCCGTCGGCCGGTGAGCAAAACACGCTTGAGGTGGAACTTGGCTTTCGTTTTACCTTGTGGCCTAACACAGCTTTTGTGCTGCCTCGCAAACAACCTATCCAGCTGGCACAGTTTGACCCTCCATTCGGGGAGGGGAAGTTAAGACTCCTGTGCCGGGTACGGGCCCATAGGGCTTAACAAGTGACCACGTTTTGCTGCCTGGAGTGAATTGTCCCACGACATGAAACGTGACACTTATACACCGTGGTGGTGATCTGAGGTCACAAGTGACTTTCTTGTTATAAAATACTCAACCCGTGCGTGACGAAAGATGACACAGTCGTTAGCGCATGTCGTGAATTTTATTTTTCTTGAATACAGAAAACTACGCGCAAAATTCCCCAAGAAATCTCTTTAAAAGATGATTAACATTTTAGTCTTAAAAAACAAAAATGTGAACAAAGACACAATCTGTGTCTGTGTCCACATGCTGTCCACATGTCTTTGATATCCAACGTCAATCCAATGCTCTAAAAGAAATAGGGTTTCACCAGGGCCTTGGATGAAAAGGTTTTGTTGTGCATTAGCAACACTAGACCGGATGCTGCTGCAACACATTCTCGAAATGTGTTTCAATTTGATGTTGCTGAAGGAGAAACAAGCTTTCATGTTGTAGATGCTGATTCACATGTCGTGCCATGATGGTTTTGCTCATTTTAAGAGTATTTGTGTAATATGTCAATCTCTGATTACTGACGGATTCTTGAAGTAATTAAAGACCTCAGTAGCACAGCCACATACGTTTACTGTCATTGTATTTATAGAATGGTGTTGGAGAGCTCAAGGGCCTCACTGGTAAATTTATATTTTCCAAAATTATTATTAAAGTTGTGTTCCGCACTTGGTTGTGTGTTGTCTCTTAACGTCTCTTATTTTTCTGCACCTCAATCTCATTGTATAAATTCAAAAAGGAATGAAGACATTTCAAGTTGGACACATGTGAGTAAATAATTAGATAAGTTATCCAATGTTTCCCATTCATTCTATTTTCTAAGCAGTGTGCAGCTATAAGCGTTATTAAATGATTATTAAATGGAGCAGAGTTGAATCACTTACAAGTCATGCATCAAGTCTCCTCAGTCTTTCCTTCTACTGCTTGGAGTCATATAGTCTCAGGTGACAAACATCTGCGCCCCCTCCTCAGTGGATCAGCTCCCACCGGTCACCTCCACATGACAGAGGAGAGAGCATTGTCATTCATGACCGGAGGAGCTGGAAGAGAAGCTTCTGTTTACTTCTAAGCAATAAAACTTCACAACACGAGTTCCTTTGGAAAATATCCAGATCCTGCTTCACAAATCATCCTGAACATCTGTTTATCACAGAAACACCACGTCTCAGGTCAAGAGGTCAATGTTCAGTGGTGTCAAAAGTAAAAACATTCATCACTCAAGTGTAGATACTGGAGTTTAAAAAGACTCTTAGTACTTAGTAAACTTAGTAAAAGCTCTAAAATCTACTTAAAGTAAAAAGTAACCTTAATAAAACTAGTTGGACTTCATATAATTGTAGAAGCTTAATTGAAACCTGATTAGTGCTACATGGAGCCCTAGATATGGTAAAAAATGTCATTTTGGCCTGCAAAACTACCAGGAAATTACTGTAAGTATCTCTACTGAAGTCCTCCTCCTCTGAAGAATGGGAGATCTCGCCTTGATTCTCCACAGCTTGGTCTTTCAAGTGACCTTTGACATAGTCAAGGTCTATGGAATAGAAATACAACAATCAGACCAAATTGGACCATGGATTTGGATTAAAACGTTGCTAAAGATGGGGACATCTGGAAGATTTCAGCCAAACAACTTCTCTTATTCTGGTAAATTTATTTGTGCTGCGTTTGCAAAAGCAGGATCAGTTGTCGGCCCGCAGGCCGGAAGAACAACTGATTAACATCAGGAAGAACATTATGTTTCATATTTCTTGTTAGATATGAAAGAAAAGATTCCTACTGGCCCTAAACTGGCGTTGAGGAGGAGCAGGTTCTCCCGCCGCAATACAAGATCCAATCACATACAATGTGTGTCTCCTGACATTAATGTAAACATAACGAGCAAAGCGTGAGTGTTGGATGGTGCTTGATGTGTCTCTAACTCTCATCCTTATCAGACCTGCCTGCTTGGCACTTTCTGCTTTTGCCCTTTGACCTTGCACTCCTCAAGACAGTGACTCCCTAAAAAGTGCTTTTGATTATCAGTAGAATGTGAGGCTGTAACTTCAGATTTTTCCAACCGGCCATCATTAGTTTAACCAACGATTTCAGCACATTCGTATGTGTGTGGAGGCCAGGGTTATTTCAACAGCAAAATACAGATGCAGCCGATGGAAAGCCTGCAAGGGGAGCATCGTCGTGTTTTAACGGAAATAAGTAAATAATAAAATAAGTAAATACAATTGTTTATTTAAATGAGTAATCTCTGTGATTTAAACACAAAAACATCACCAAAATCCCCAAGGTTCACGTTTCCATAGCAGAGAGAAAAGGGATCTCATTGGCCTCCTACAGTGTGGTCTCACAGCAACAATACACTGACCCTGGTTGCCTTCTTTTTACAAGGTCAGCTTGGAAAAAATTCATCCGATTGAAAAGTATGAACAACATTTCCACTGAAGCAGGAAAGAACTTTTTGGGTTGAAAAAATAAACATATACGAGACCAAAAGGATCTCAAGCACCACTAGTGGTTCCCTGGTCTTCAGATTTAATGGGTCTGCTAATGGACCTTTCTCATACAGCCTGTTTGCAAAAAACAACTTCAAGTGCAGCACAAAGAAATCTATTCTGGTTACTGAGGGAAAACATCAATCATATATCCTTTTGTATCTTGTTGTTCAGAATCCTCTATAAATCAGGACAGTCTGACATTTCATTAACATGCTGAGACATTTAGTTCATTTGGCAGGACACTAAAAATACAATATAACAATTTACCTTTGCAAAATGAAACATTAATTGAATGATCTTCTGACTAGCATTAGTCAAGCAATATGGAATCCCGAAGAACATTTTCTTAAAGGATAACTCTGTTATTGGAGAAAGATATGTGTGATTTATGACTCCCGTTGACGGAGTTTGTTTTACGAACTGGGCGCACATAGTTGGAAAGACGCAGCTTTTGTGGATCTAAAATGGATCCACAATATGTCAAATGTAGGTTGTGCATTTTTGGAGCTTAAGATGTGACACTAAAGGCCAGAAAGATTAGAAGTCACCTCACCTGCTCAGGTAACCGAGCTCCCTTTAATCCAGAAATCCCCCGCAGTACGTCTACCCCGGTTCTTCATCCACTCGTCTCCAGATCGTTGTCCAACCTCCCTGGTAGTGATTGCGCTTGGCAGCTCTTCTGAAGAGTGTTTTCAGCAACAGAAGTTTGTGGTTTGTCGGCCCACTTTTCCACTGGGTGTATTTGTGTCCTTTCAGTTCTCCATCCTCCTGGTTCCTCAGTCTGTCTGTCGCTCCCTGCCTGGATTTCCCTGCCATTCCCCACTGTCTCCATAGCTGTGTCCCCGGCAATAGACCAGGTCCCCCTGTACCTCCTGGTCTCTGCATTTGGGACCGACACCACATACCGTAACAATTTTAATACTTTGTCCATTTGTCTAAAAGTTATCATTAAATGATTTATATTTGCATATTCAATTCATTTTATTTTGTATAGCCCAAAACTGCAAACTACACATTTTCCTCAGAGGGCTTTACAGTCTGTACACATGCGACATCTTCTGTCCCGAAACCCTCACATCAGCACAGAGATCCAGTTCTCAGCAGGAGGAAGACTTTGATGTGGCCACCACCGTTTCTAGCGGGCCGCTGCCACCTAGTGGTCAAACTGCTGTACTTATTCATGAACACTTCAACGCCTTTTCTCTCTGCAGACAATAATCGTGAAAAATACTAAGAAAATAAATGAATAAAAAACACGGTAGGATATTTTCCATGTCCTTTTTTGGAGTCTCTCTTTTCTTGACAATATGAGATAAAGCGATGTTATGCTCAACTTAAGACCAACCTTTCATTTCAATAATTAAATTAAACAAAACTAGTGACCTTGTCTAATTTGTAGAACAGTAAAACTGTCTTTAAACGATCTGCCTCACTGCCTGTCTGTATCTCTCTCTTTCTCTCTTAAACGTGACAAACGTCAGTGAACAGCTGGGGCGTCATTTATAAAAGCTTGCGTAAGATTTGCCCCACAAGTGGTGTACGGATGAAACATAGGACGTGCGTACGCACAGAAATATTGAGACTTATAAAACCGTGCGCACGCACGTCCTACGCAGTTTTCCCTTAATAAATCACAATCACTTCTAAATGCAGCGCAGCTTTTGCGGCGTCATGTCACGCCCATAGTCGCCCATATATAGTCTGTGGAACGCCCACAAATTAATATTCATTGATTGCGAAATCATGACAAACACTGAGAGGAAAACGAAGAAACGTAACTTCACTCAGTGTGAAGTCGAAATGATCATTGGCGAGGTGGAAAGGAGGAGTAAAATGCTTTTTGGAGGGCACAGTGTGGACATTACTAATGCCAAAAGGGCACTCGAGTGGCAAAAGGTTGCAGAGCAGCGCTGCAGCCTCACAACCTCGGGCCGTGGCCGAAATAAAGAAAAAATGGGGGGGGACACCGGAGCTGTCCCCTCTTGATGAGAGACTGGCGGCAGTGGTTGGGGATCGGGGACAGGGTCTGGGCCAACATCGGCGTCAGGAGGGTCGAGGCACGTTTGGAAGCTGTGCCACATTATGTAGCACAGCACACGCAGCACGATTCCACACACGTTTTCAGGAGTAAACAACAACCTCCCTCCAGTGCAGTCGAGGCAGCGCCATCTGCCCTTAAACAGGCCGATGGTGCGCTGCACTACAGCGCGAATCCTTCCATGTGCCACGTCTTCTAAGAGCCCAAGATCAGCCATCAGCGTCATTACGCATTGTGACGGCATCATGGCCATTTATTACCGTCCGTTTGATTGCATCTGACAAGCAACAGCTGTGTTTTGAGGATGAATTGCATAACATGCCGATATTATTGCAGAACATATTTCACTTTTCTTTTTGAAAATGTGTTAATTTGTATTTTTGTTCAAACGGGTGTTCGTGTTATTTATGAGAGGCAGTATTGGCATTTCTTTTACAAAAGTCTAGTTTTACACACTTTAACACACGTTCGGAGTCCGATTCCTTGGCGTGAGGAAGCTCTAAAATCTACTTAAAGTATAAAAGTAACCTTAATAAAAAAACTAGTTGGACCTCATATAATTGACACGACTAAGAAATAGAAGCTTAATTAAAACCTGATTAGTGCTATGAGGGAGATTTGTTTTAATCCCCTTATAATGAACAAATATCCCAATTCTTCCATGTTAGAAAAACAGTATTTAATTATTAATAAAAACCTCTTAACATAAAAAGGACATGACAAATCCACGTCAGCTGCTCAGGAGTCCCTTCAGCACCCTCACATGGGACGGTGGTCTCTCATCTCCTGCAGCAGCTCTTCTAAGGCTTCCTCCATTTTCAGTTTGGGACGTCTGTGTATGCGAATGTACTGTGGAAAGGACACAATAAGTGTGAATTATCAACAGGCCATGTTTGAACAGGAATTTAGAATGTAAATTAATTTAAAAGGTCATTATTCTGTGTCAGGGGCGGCACGGTGGCGTGGTGGTTAGCACTGTTGCCTCACAGCAAGAAGGTCCTGGGTTCGATTCCGCCCAGTGGCCTTTCTGTGTGGAGTCTGCATGTTCTCCCCGTGTCTGCGTGGGTTCTCTCCGGGTTCTCCGGCTTCCTCCCACAGTCCAAAGACATGCTCTGGGGATCAGGTTAATTGGGGACTTTAAATTGCCCGTAGGTGTGTGAATGTGAGTGTGAATGGTTGTGTGTCTCTGTGTAGCCCTGCGATTGGCTGGCGACCAGTCTAGGGTGTACCCTGTCTATCGCCCGAAGTTGGCTGGGATGGACTCCAGCCCCCCCGCGACCCTGTGTGCAGGATAAGCGGTCTGACAATGGATGGATGGATTATTCTGTGTCAGGGTACTGACTGATTTTCCCTTATTTGAATGGCACTTCCATCACAGTGAACATGCAGGGAAAGTGTTTATCCCTCATAGTGACGACTATGTTGGGAACATGTCTCCTCTTTTTATTATTGGGACAGAACTGGAACCGGTTGGACTAAACACCACTACGTAATGTCTTGTTGTGTAATGTTTGCCTCCTTGGTGTCCTCCAGCGTGGTGTATCTGTAGTTCGCTGGTCCCAGGCTCTGCACCAAGCTGGAGTGAAGGCGATGCCTGCTTTCCATGAGCCGCCTGGTCATGGCAAGTTGCTGTTTCAGCATTTCATTGAGTGCAAAAACAGCTGGGTTGGAGGTACTGAGGGCTGACAGACACACACACACACACACACACACACACACACACACACACACACACAGTGTTGAATTAGAGAGCGAGCTGAATTTTACTTCATCCTTAAACAAACTAATACTGCAGCGTTACTATTTGGATCCAGTTGCAGGTTTAACATTTGTGCTAATCTCTTAACACCAACATAATCGATTTAAGAGAATACTCAGAATACTCTAGCGCAATAGTTTCAATGAGTCTTACCTTCCACCATTTCTGCACTGAGGGTGTAAGCTCCCACTGGCGTGGGATCCATGTAAGTCATTCTCACCGGGGGGGCAAGAGCACCTACAGGAGGGGGGGGGGCAGACAAATGAATCCTGATGACTGGGGCTACTGTGAGGAAATGTGACAATGGGGGTTCAGATTACACACCTAAAATGTACAAATGCCACGTATGGCAAACTTACCGGCGGGCCATGTGTAAGCCAGAGGATCATGCTGAGTCTGTACTGCTGTTTCTTTTAAAACCTTCCTAGATGAGTTTGGCCACCTCGACTGGCGGGATGATATCCGGCCGTCATGTGACACAGAGGATCTTGAGTCATCGCTTTTGGTGAGTGGTTGACTGTGACCTGAGACGGTGCTCGAGTAATCGTCTTGTGTCCTCCTACGGGACGTGTTGGAATGCTCCAAGTCCGGCTCCCCTCCAGCTCCTCGCAAGTGCTCTGAAACGCTGTAATCCGGCTCACTGTCAAAGTCACTTTGGTAGAGACCGGCGTCCTCTTCCTCTACCTGCAGCTCGTCTTTCTTCTCCTTCGATTGGGGCTGCTGCTCTTGATGTCTGTTGGGGGATTCTTCTCTCTGTTTAAGCAAAGGGAATATACCAATAAATAGTTAAATTCTCTTTGGAGAGAATTAATGGTCCATGTTTTTTTAATCTCATGATACACACAACTCATCTCTAATTGTGAACTTCATTTTACCAAACTTAATGAACCCACCTCTTCTCCTGGCGTGTTCTCAGTGAATCCAAGGTCGTCCAATGTCATCACATTTATCTTGAAGTCTGCAATAGCACAAGATCATTAAAGAATTTCATAAATTATAGAGTATATCCAGTGTCAACGCATTATTTAGTGTGCTTCTACAATTCATTCATATAAAAAAATTCATTATTCTAACCCTACATAGGGAGGATTTCTGTACCTTGTTGTCCAGCTGGGATGCATGAGACAAAGCACGAGGAATAAAATATAATGAACCAAAATACAACGTTTCCGCTCTCACTTTTAAGTCCTATGGACCTTTGACCTTAATTACCACAACACTAAAGGCCCTGATGTAACGTCTCTCACCTCCAGAGGTAACAGCACTCGTCTCACTCTGGGGATCTCCCAAGAAGAGCTCCTCCAGAGAAAGCACCTCCCCGCGGCCTGAGAAGGAGGAGAGGGAGCGCTGAGGACTCCCCTCCCTCCCTGGAGGAGGTGAGGAAACACAGGGAGGAGAGGGAGGTGGGGAGGGCACAGGGGGGCTGAAGAGGGCCTGAGCCTCTCCAGGGAATCGAAAAGGAGAACTGTGGCAGGAAGGAGAGGCGGCGCCGCCGGGTGGTGCTGTGTTTAAGGACGACGAGGGAGGGACGACAGCGGGGGGAGGTGAGGAGGGGACAATCTGTAAGGGACAAAAGCATGAGTGAATGTCAACCGAAGGGCTTCTGTTTCTCTACAGTTGTGTCCAACTTCTGTTCTATTATTAACGTTATATTTCTTTGTAATGAAAGGGAAGTTGTTCTAAATAAAACGTTGTTTCACAAGCCTGAGGCTCACTGAAAGTACCAACAAATACGGCATGTCCTGACTAAAATAGCCCCGTCCTCAAAGTGTAAAGGTACCTTGTCTGCTGTTCTTATGGAAGAGGGCCTCTTAGACATTGAGAGGTGGTTTATTGAATCCAATGTGTCCCCAAGAAGTTTCCTCGTGTCCTCTTCATCACCTTCCAGACTGACACCACTCGCTACTCTCACTGGCTTTGTCTCCAAAGCCGCCAAAGGAACTACAGTATCAGCAGCTCTGGACCTGGACCTAACACCAATATCAGTGCCTTTTGGTGGCCGAGCACCGGCAGCAGCATCAAGCGTATTAACAGTTACAGGCGTCTTGTTCTTGAGGAAACGTGACCCCCTCAGGATCTGGTCACTGTTGGACTGTACTGAGTGTTGCACAGGGGCCTCCAGGTATCGGGCGGCAGGGGAGATTTCCTCATCTGAGGTTAGATCCTCTGCAGGTTTTGGCCCCTGTCTGGCATCTCCCTGAACCTGCTTGCGGATGCGTCTCTCAATCTGAGCCAGTTTACTCAAAGCAGCAGCCTGGGAGCCCCGCTGGTAAGATGGCACATTTCTGACCAAGGGGGATGAAGGTGGAGATTTAACACAAAAAGCGGCTAATGTCAACATTGGAATTGAGATCAGTTGGCAGACAAAGATTCACTTGATCTAATCCATCGTTCATTAATTTATCTTACGCACACAGAACCATACCTGGGTCCAGGTGCCTGCTGCCTTTGGCCCTTAAGGACAGGTGACAGGCTGCTACTGGAAGCAGCTGGTGGAGCCTTCTTTAAGAACCTGCTCCCTCCTCCACCCAGAGGGCGCTCAGGTCTGAGATCCTAGCAGAAAAAGACCTTCCTGGTGTCAAATAGGGGTTGAAAACATCCCACTGTTCATGGTTTCTAAAGGGCCGTTGCATCGGTTTGCAAAAGCTTCCACAACCCTTTTACCTCGGTCAGAAGCCGTTCTCTGGCCTGGCTCCTGCCGGCAGGAGCAGCAGAGCCCTGCATGGTGTCCCCTCCATGCTCAGCCGCTGAGCTGCCCGAGGACAGGTCGCTCAGACTAGACAACAAAGGGTTTGTGTTTGAATATTTGGTTTTCAAAGATCCACCAGCAGCCTTAAGAGAAAGGTAGACAAGACGCGAATGTTAGAAAGCAGGAGGCAGCGAGACACTCGGAGACTCGGGGACATTTTTGAAGCTTCAGACTCACTGCTGTCCCCGTGGACCCCTGGACGGACTCAACGTCCCCCCCGCTGCTCCTCCTGGCAGACAGCAGCGCCCGAGATCGGTCTAGAGCCGACCTTTGACCCACTCGTTTCCACATGGTTAGACCTGCTATGACGTCATACACGTCGATATATAATAACTCTTTAGTGACCGTCAGCTACATATTAGCTCCCCGTGTTTAGGGTGGTTTCACCACGCGCAGTAGCCTCAACATCAGCTAGCATGTGGCTAAGCTATGTATCTAACTGACATACGAGCTGCAACAATATCACAGATAAAAGGTAAATTATCGATTGATAAAACGCCTCGTGGGTTCGCCGGTCTCTATCTGTTACACGCTGCATGCTTAAAGCACAGCGTCCTCTCGGCGTCCCTCGTATCCATGCAAGATGCAACAGCGGCTGTTTTCTTCTTCTTCGCCAAAATAGAGGGCAGCTTCGTTCCTCTTCCGGGTGATAGCGCCTCCAGCTGTTCAGCACACGTCCTCGTTTGTACAATGTCGCGTAAGACAAACAAACCGGTATGGAAGACAAAAAAAAAGTATAGATAAATAAATGCATGAATAAAAGTGTAAATAAATACAGGAACAAAAACAAGTGCTAATAATGAATGAATAGATATGTATAAATACATTTAAAAAATAAATGCATTGATAAATACTGGAATAAATACAACATTATATTAATTTTAATTGAACTCTAATGCTGATAAATGTAGTTATAAATACACTGTCATTTTCAATGTATTGTATCTTATTTTTGGTTATTATTCAACAATCTTGTGTGTGTGTGAATTTTATTTTGTTAAATTTGCGGAAATAGCGTTTCATCTCTTCTGCGCCTCCTAGGCTTCCGTAGTTTTTCGTAGTGTTGCTCTATTGGAGGTAAGTTGAGGGAAAAATGATGTCGCACTATTTCGCTATGTTCTTAAAAATATAACTTAACATAAGCAACCATTACCGTGGGTAACATAACCAGTGTTCAGCTGTGGTGCGTCATTATTTTAGACGATGGGGTGGTGATAAAAGTATACGTTTGGTCACTGTTTAATTTCGCGTCGTTTGTAATGAAAGTGTTTACCAGAACCAGTTATCCAGTCTCTCCATATTTGTCCTCAAGTTTATATAGATAGATCGAATCGGTATACCTTGCAGTCAAGTGTAACGGGTCTTCGAGATGGTTAACTGATATATGTCCTTAATATTAGCTATAATACGTTCAATAGAAGGCCATAGAAATAACAGTATAGGCTAGTATAAATCACAGAAGTCCAAATTCGGCTACAGGAGCTGATGGTCAGTAACAACACAGAAACATAAGTTTAAATTTGGTGCAGGTACCATGTATTGCAAAATAATAAAAAAAACTATTTACAAATAGAAATAATTAAAGAAGAAAAAGAAAAGAATCCCAAAATATTTACAGACTGCAGTTGAACCGGTTATATTTAGGCGCACTTTGTAGTGGTTGTTCAAGTATGCTATAATATAAATTACAGCAAACACCACACAAAAACAAGAGAAAAAGAACCGCGCCTGCAATGGATGTATACAAGACCAGCGCGACAATCCACACTTAGCTCATTCCACACTCAAATATCATTTCCAGGTGCACACAATTTCTAAATCATTACAAAATAAATCACTAAATGTACAAACTACAAATAGACATTAAGTGCATGACAACTCAATCAACAATACAGTGTTAAAGTTGTATTGCCTGCAAAGTTCAAATAAATTCAACAGTACTATAATCAACTTTCCTTAATACATGTAAACACACGTACTGAAACCAATATATTTGTAACCCACAAATGCAACCGTCACGACCACATAAAATGAATCAAAACCAGTTGGTAAACATTTGATTAATATGTTAGTTTTGAGCATGTAGTTAGTGTTGTTACCTCCCACCCTCCTGCTTCGAAGCTTGTGTCGAAATATGAACCCGTGCAGGGCGAAGCAATTGTATCGGTGCTCGGTTCGTTCGCTGCTGATCACGTGATCAGTGACGTCCGTAGCTTCGTTCCGGCGCACAGTCACGTGACAGCTTCGAATTGATTCAAATGGGCGCGAAACAGGGTTGGGGCTTGTCTGTTTGATACAGTCAAAGTCAGTGTTGTTGTAGTAGTATTAGCAAATTTACAATGGAACCTGTGGCAAAGAGAGGTCGCTCCGAGATGTGGGAGCACTTCAATTTGATTTCCTCTAACAAGGTTTGTAATAGGCAGACAAAGTCTGTCATTTGTATTGTGTAATTATGGATGTTTATTTTTATTGTGGAGACCACCAGATATTTGGCTGAATCAAACATTCCACGGAGTGAAGACCCGCTAAAATATTGAATCAAACACAAACATGTGTACCCACATCTATTTGTATTAGCACGTAATCTTTTGAGCATTCCTGCCTCATCGTGTCGTGTAAGCGCCTTTTTTGTAAGGCAGGGGAAATAGTATCTAAGAAACCGACTCAACCCCAATTCTGTGGAGAAAATTGTGTTTCTCAATAAAAATCAATAATAACTTCATGCCCCATCCCATGTGTCCTATCGCCCGAAGTTGGCTGGGATGGACTCCAGCCCCCCCGCGACCCTGAGTGCAGGATAAGCGGTTTGACAATGGATGGATGGATGGATGGATCCCATGTGTCCACAAGCACCTCAATATCCTGTCATAAGAAACCTGCCCAAAAGCACAATTACTGCCCCACTGACCTTTCCTCTGCAAATCACTTCCCACATTCAAACAATTCACATAAGTCCCTATGACTGCCATGAACTGCACATGCAGTAGGAAGCACTTGCTGATATTTTAAATTATATTGCTTACATGTCATATATATATATATATATATATGTTATATATATATAAAATATATATATATATATATATGTGTTATATATATATATATATATAAAATATATATATAAAATATATATATGTATATATAAAATATATATATATATAATATATATATATATATATATATAATCGTCTATTATATATATTATATATCTTCTATTAATTATTCTGCTAGTATGATCACAAACATACATGCACAAAGGTGCAGAAAGATATAGATAAGTGTTTGTTAAACTTCTTTCCAATGTACAGAGAATTGAAATACACAAACAAGGACACAATTCAAACCTGAAAAACAATAGTTTTATTCATATAGGAATCCATGTATTTATTAGATGATTTATTGGTTCAACTTTTCATAATCATGTTCAACCCACAGAGACTGGGCCAAAATATACTGGTGGGCTGTTTGATACATTTGCACCATATGTTTTCAACAGTAGAGGTCACCATAGAGTTTGCGATGCATTGAATGAATGAACCTTTTTCCAATACAATTGGCTGGAAAGCTTTACTGGTTCAGAAAGCTTCACTTTGCCATCACTACATGTAGTTCATTCATTGAGAGTACTCACCAGTTCCTCTATGTAAACATATGGCAACCTGATGACGGTGACGATTCCCTGCAGCCGCTAAGTTATTCTAAAAGTTACAATGATATGTTTTAATCTCAAAGAATAAATCAAGCACCAGAGTAAATTGTTTGTTGAACACAAACCTGTCCACAGCTGCCGATCAGCTTCCCCACACCTCTGAATGAGGAAGACGGTGCAGCCTGGTTTAAACTCGTGCTCTACTGCGCGATTGGCCAAGCACAGTCACGTGACTGGGGGTTGCGCGAGATCGCATCTTAAAGGGCCAGGGGACGGCAAAACCAATATAATATATTGCCAGATTTCAACCTGGGTTACACAAGCTCTGAGTAGCCACCGAGAGACATTGTTTGTATGTGCGTTTGAATGCATGTCTCACAGATTGGAGTGCCAGCACCATGAGCGAACATACGAGTTCACGTTGGTCTCGTCTTGTATTTGACAGAGACGAAAAGAACTATGAACTGTGGGAGACAACGTTTTTGGGCCATCTGCGGATGCAGAAATTGAAGGACACAATTTTGAATACGCCTGCCGATGGTGCGTTAGAAAACGCACAAAAGTTTGTCTCTGGTCATGCGAGAGGCAGTGGATGACGGGCGTGGAGCGCTCTGGATTTTGCGCACTATTATGCAGGCAAGGGTAAGCCCCGCATTGTATACAGAACTGACTTCTTTGCAAAAAATGAGTAGTGAGAGTGTGACTGATTATGTGATACGCACAGAGACTTCAATCACAGCTCTGCATAATGCTGGAGAGGTTTTAAGCGATGGCCTATTGGTTGCAATGATTTTGAAGGGTCTGCCAGAATCATTTAAGCAGTTTTCCATTTTTATCACTCAAGGTGATGAGACTCTCCCTTTTGCGGAGTTCAAGACTAAGTTGCGCTGTTATGAGAGCACTGAAAGTATGCGCACAGCTGTGGCCGACGATAATGTCATGGGGGTCCGTGCGCATCCAAAGAGGGCTGCCTCAGCAGGCGCAAGTGCGCGCAGCACATTGTGTGTTTCCGTTGTGGCCAGAGACTGTCAGAGTGGTCAACAGCGGTACAGCCAGGGCGAGAGTACGGCACGGCGAGGAGGATGGCGACAGCGGGACAACGCGCGCGGAGTGTCCGAGGAGACTGATGACAACACCTCGCTTGTGACCAGCGAGCCAGGGAGCGGTGTCACCAGAAAGGGCCCGATGGTGGACACCGGTGCGACGTCGCATATCATCACTGACCTGGCAAAGTTCAAGAGCTTCGATGACCAATTCCAGTTCAAGACGCACAGCGTGGAGCTGGCCAATGGCACAAGCTGCACGGGGGTTGCGGAGCACAAAGGAGACGCTGAGGTGTGTCTGGTCGACAGCAGGGGGCGGCGCCTCAGTGCCACACTGAAGCAGGCGCTGTACATCCCCTCGTATCCACAAGACATCTTCTCCGTGAGATCTTCTCCTGACAAAAGCATCTTCATTGGTTATGACAAGAACAGTCCAGCCTATATGGTCTACTAACCTGCTAGCAGGAAGGTGATGAAGCATGGACTGGTGAGGTTCATGTCCTGTGTTGAGGGACAGCAAACTGATGATGACAGTGGTGTGCAGGCTAGCCCAATCAGACCAGACCCTGACAAACCCGAGCAGAAGGACATCCCAGAGGCTAGGCCAGGTCCAAGCCAGATAGGCCTACAGATGGGTGAGGTCAAGCCAGAATCCCAATCTCCACGGAGATTCCCTGCTAGAGAGAGGAAGAGGCCAGACTTCTATGGGATAGAGAGTGATGCGGCTCAGATCAACATTGATTATTGCTACAGGATGGTTTGTAATGTACCTCAGACGTTCAGAGATGCCGTGACTTCATCCAACTCAAGAGAGTGGGTAGATGCAATGTGTAGGAGCCGCATTTCAGTTTGTCATGTATTAAAATAACTAATTTTTTGTTCTTTTTTATTTGTGTTGAAAGCAAAGTGTGCCCCCTACAGGAGAGGCGGGCGCTCCTATAAGTTGATGCGAATGGCGCATAGGTGATGAAAGGAAACGGGTTACGGCAGATACCGTCTTTTGACCTTGGCCTCAGCCCTGTAACCACCCTCGATGGTTATTGGCATCATCATGCATCCAAACCAAA